CAGTAATAAGCATTAACTAATAGGTAACTAATGCATTTGTTAATAATTTACTAATGTTCTGACAGGTGTAAAGCCACCCCTTACTTTCCCCCATGCAGTTGTTCACCCCCTGTGATACGTGTGGTTATTTATAAAGACTCAATTATTATTATAAGGGTTTGTTTGTAATGTTATATTGTATAGAGTGAGATGAATAAAATATAAAAAAGTGAATAAAACAAAACAGACATACAGTGAAAATAAGAGTAGTGATCTGAACATTTAATAGAGTCAAATGTGAGAAAGTAATACAGACTTTTGTTTCAAAGGAGCCCTGTCTCTGTCAGAAACATATGACAACAGATGTCCTTGAGTTATTTGCAACCTTAGGGTAATTACAGAGGTAGCTGAGATAAATCAAATCATAGCAAGGTCGCTGTCACAGCCAAAATCTGCTGCCACTGGGCCAAGTCATGTCAATTGGGAAATTTGTTCTGATTTTTTTCAAATCTAGCAGACCAAGATAACTCAAATCAGCAGGCAGCTGTAGAGCCAAGGAAACCCCTTAGTGATACGCTGGGTGATGAGAGTTAGAAATTCACCCCAGTATCTCTAAGAAAAATGTCCACATTGGGTGTTTAGTCAATTTGATTTGGCATATCATTTCTTAATTTACTTGTCCAGCCGGGCCCTCAGATAGGTCTCTGTCCTCTCTCCTTTGTTTGCAGGGCACACTTGACGTCCTGTGTGACCTAATGGTGCATTGCCTTGTTCTGCTCATACTTAATGCGAGCCTTCAGTGTATCCGTTTGGCTCTTATAGAGCTCTTTATATCTGCTCAACTGCCCAGTAAAGAGGGTTTTCTCTTTTTGCCACTGGACTTGGCGACATTCAAGCCGTTCTTCAATGTGTTTTAGTGCTGCTGAGAGATCCTTCTTCTCCTGCAGTAGATTCTTGTTCTCAGTCTCACTAGAGGCTCTGCATTCCTCAATTTCGACTAGCAGGGAGGCTTTCTCCTTTTGCAAGCAAAGGTTCGCATTCTTTAGACTTTCTGCCTTTCTGAGTTCAGCTTCCATCTTTCTGGTCTCTGCTGTGTGTTGCTCCAGCTGGACCCTCAAAAAGCTCTCTGTCCTCTCCCACACTGTAACAAATTGCTGTTAAAAAACGGCCAAATTGGAAGATACCATTGCACTTTATCTTTCCTCACTCCACTTTCATCTAAGATGGTATCTTCCAGCTTCTGACTGGCTGAACACACCTGAACCAGGTAATCAGCAGCAGGTCAGGCAGGGATAGTTGGAAAACAAGCAGGACAGCGGCCCCCCTCCCTCGAGGACTGGAATTGGCCACCCCTGCTATAAGTCACACTGGATATAAAATGATATGTTATTTCTGTGCATTCATGTGTCGACAGAGTTATGATTCCCGTTTTTGTTTGTTCTGACAAATTGTGGCAAAAGTTTTGAATTGAGCTGTGTCCTGCAGCAGCTCTTGATCGTGTTGATCATAGTGAACAAAGTTACAATAACTTCCCTATGTTTTTACAACACTGGTATCCATCTGTCCCTTTTACTACTATCTTTACCTCAACTCTCGCCCTCCGTGCCTCGTGTAAACCGCCTTAATGACGCAAAGGATAGTCCAAATTATACTGATCCATTCGAACCAACTTTTACTCGCCCATTTAAAATACAGATAGCCCAAATGGCCAGAAAACAGCACAGATCAACTAATCTGTTCTCCAAGTCAGGGAAACATGTGCAATGTGGTAACGCTAGGCGGCGATACAACATGTAACGCAACTTAGAACATAGCATATAAAATCAGAGAAGAAGAAACAAGTACCAGACAAAATGGCTGTAGGACGAAGCTAATTCTTGGCTAATGTAAACATCTATCAACAATACATTGGAGCAGGAGCGACGATAACGTCACCCGATAGGTTTTGACACAGCGAATGAGAGCGTATGCTGACACAAATTCACAGTCTAGAGCACCATCATTAACATAATGTTAATTTATCTATTTACCTTAGCTAGCTAGGTTAGCGTTGTTATTAGCTTAGGTAACACTGATAACGTAGCTGTATATTAGTTTGATTACGCGTTTTTGGTTAAAACAAACTTTGCAGTGTGAACCTACTTATCTACAACATCATAAACATCTTTCATAAACGATAGGAAATAATTATAACTAAGAGACAAAGCGGTTTTGGGAGTGTATTCTGCTAAAGCTAATGCTCGCCCCGTTGAGTACAGTGCGCCACCGGCTGGCTATTAGTTAGCTTATGCGAATATGTCAGAGCTGAAGACACTCATTCGGTCTCACCAGACGTAACATGTTGTCCTGAAAAACAAATCAAATTAGATGCCATGCGGGTCTTGCTTGAGCATTTTGGACCAGACTAGATCAAGCTAACTTAACCGCAAGGCAAATTAGCTGAGTCTGATCAACGACGTGTGGTGAAACGCTGGCAATCATCGATGGCTCATTTGTTGTATTAAACGTCATCGTGGCCCGTCTTTTACATGGCAGCGCACAGTTTTGTTCAGTAAAGTTTTGTGTCTGTTGGTTCCCCAGCAGTCCTCCTGATTTTGGTAAAGGATGATGAGCCAGCGACGTGGGATCCATCTGGACCAATCAGAGCTGCTTTGCAAGAAAGGATGTGGTTATTATGGCAACACTGCTTGGCAGGGCCTGTGCTCGAAGTGCTGGCGAGAGGAATATCAGCGAGAAAAGCAACAGATTCAAGAGGACTGGGCACTTGCTGAGAGGTTTGTGTCTGCCCTGTGTAGAGTTATTCCTATATGGCACATACTCTTTTTGGTTGTCTTACCTCCTCGTTTTTTGCTGGTTTGCTCTTGTTTCTCTCTGTCTATATGATAACTATTAACAGCTGTACTGTCTGATCCCTCTCAGGCTGCAGAGAGAGGAAGAGGAAGCGTATGCAAGCCGACATCAGAGGGCCCAATCACAGCCTACCACAACCTTCAACAAGTTTGAAGAAAGAAAAACTAAGGAAAAGTCCAGCAAAGTCAACACAGTCACAAAGTTTTTTACTCCTTCCACAAAAACACCACCAAAAAAAGGTACATGATATTGCACAAATGTTGCTAATTATTAAAGGTATGTGTTTAAAGTCCCCATGGCATTGTAGTGGCTAGGACCTGATGTAAGCTAAATTAATTCACAGACGAATCACTAAAATGCCAGTGATCATTTATTATTACAATAACACTAAACAGTTCAACAATTTTGAAAGATAATCAGCAGTCTGAAAGATAGGGGACAGAGTCACCATTCCTGCAGGAAATAAATGCAGTATTAGACAAGAAGATTGTCACAGAGTCAGTCAGTCTCTTTTTGGTCATAAGCACAGTCAAGTCCATCACGTCTCCCGGCCGGGGTCTCACTCAAACGTCCTTCTTCCGCACGCACACACACTACACTACTCTACTGCAGCAGCATACTGCCTCCTTTTGTACACTGCTCACTTTTGGCTCCCCCGCCAATTCCCAAACCTAGTTAACAGGTCATCTCCAGATCAGGATGACCTAGTGGGTTAAACAAACAGGCTATGAACCCAAAATGTTCTTGCTTCAACACACACAAACTATTTACACAGTGAGCTGACATAGTACAAAGGCCTTGCAGAAATGAGTTATTAATTGACTACTGCATATAGTAACTACATGTAGTCTACACACTCCCACTGTATTTTATTACATATTGCATATTAACTGTAGCTTGTTTGTTTTAACCACTACAGCAGGCTCATTTTGCTCATTTCCAGCCTTTTAATGTTTAATCTTTGGTACCTCTAGATTAGCTTGGCACCCCTCATAACTCCATATAGTCTGTAATTTTTTCAGAACAATAAAACCAGAGAGCCTTTTTCTAAAAACAAGAGGATAGTTCATGAATGCGCACAACCTTTCTTGCTGGTATTGTGTTGAAAGTAGACAGCACAACAAACCGCAATGGCATTAATTAATATGAATTTCTCCTCCATAGATCAGAAAACAGCGGTATATGTACCGATGAAAAGAGATGTGTAACCCAACAAAGCGGGTAATTGAGAAACCCCACATTTTAACTGGCATAATGCAGACATGGTAACTTCACCAGCCTTACAACAATTCTCTCTAATATTATAGAAACAGAGCATTGTTTTTTTTTAACCTACCATTAAGTCTCACAAGTAGTGGAAACTTCACTCCCTTTCAAGTAGCTCTACGGCCAGCAAATCCAACCGGTGGTCACTGCGTATTCCCACACACGACCACATACAGTCCCAAAGTAGTGAAATTAATTCCAACAGGAAGCGTAGTGCTGACAATAACATCATGGGTCAGTAATCCACTTGTTAACCAGCAACACATCACATGTGGCAGACACACTGGCCTCAAGCAGTCAAAACAAACAGGTACTGTGCTCTGGGGGAATTCAGCATTGATCACTGCCCCAGGGTGCTTCACAGGCCAGCTGCTTGTAGGTTAGACGCGGTCAGGTGAAACAGCAAGTCCCTGTACATTCCCAGACATGCAGTAACCTCAGTTTTCCTCCACATCTTCTGGTCACAGTGCAGCAGCAGGAGGTAAAATATATCCACAAAACGGCGCAGTCAAAAAATTCCACTTTTACAATGGCACCAGTGGATGTCAGGCAAGCTCACATGAACATGCAACAACCTGGAGATTATGACCATTCATGGAAATCCTTGAACTATCACGTAATACTTTATTTTGCAAGTGAGTGAGAGTTTGTGAGATTTGTATAAACCGAGTTGCTCTTGCATAGAAATACTAGAACATACTGTACATACACCTCATTTTTTGAGAATTCACTGTTGTAACATTGTAGATAAGTCAGAAAACAAGGAAAAGCATGCCATGGGCTCTTTAAAGTGTCCATATGATGGATAATGTCATATTTGGTATTCATCATTCAAATTTGACTCATTTTTAGCTTGTTTTGATAAGTCATCTGCATTTTTCCAGAACCAGTTCTGGTCACCTGTTTTACTGAAACATTAAGAAACAAAACAAGACTGTGGTCACCTGAACCTGAGCTCAATGATCTGTTTGTGTTTTCTGTTTAAAAAGATTGTTAAATTGCAGCACATAGTGCTGCTACATGTGGCATAGAGATATTTGGATAAATGCTGTAAGTGAGAAAGTGGCTCTGTAGCTTTGATTAAAGTAACATTAAATATCCTCCCTAGATTCCACTCCTTTAGATGCCCAGTCCAGCCCGAGCCCCAGCTCCTCTGCGACTCGGCACTCTTCTGGGGACAGTGACCATGCCACACGAGAGTTCATTGACTTTCTCAAGCCTCTGAAGTCTGGCAAGGAGATCTTCAAACAGTGCAGAGCCTTCACTGAGAGCATGGTCTATAAGCGGGTGAGCTCAAGTGGACTGTGTTTGTGAGCAAAATAAGCTTATAACAACCATTTAGATTATGTGTATGTGAAGCTGTGCAAGCCCAAACCACCTGTGTACAAATAGGTTGTTTTCTTTTTTGGTTTAAGTTGAGCTTTTAATCAATCAGACTGCACCGATAATTGTGATTGCACCTTATCTATACTTTCCACCTGTGTGTGTCTGTTATACCATTTCAATACCAACTATCCTGATTTATTTCTGAACAGTTCTGTTTCCAGTGTCACAATCACCAAAGGATATGAGCGTAAATTGATTTAACTTAAATGTTAAAAATATGCAGCATTTCTTTTTTTGGATAACATTAAACAGAGAGTGTGTTTATGCATATACACTGGTTAATGATGGATTCTAGGCTAAACCTTCAGCCTCCTCAGCTGTGTCACCTTCTGTATGATTATATTATAAATCATCCGTTGGAGGCTCAGTGTCCACTGGACAAGGAAAGCTGATGTCAGCTCCTCCATCCTCTACAGTGGAACATGGACAGTAACCAAGCATGTTGTTCAATGTTTTGAAGAATTTGAAAGCTGCTGGACTAGACCCGTTTCTCTTGCTTAGTTGTCTGGCCATGTTGTGGCTTTACTTAAAGATGTTCCACCATGATCTGATTTGTTCCACTGTAGCTAGGTTATGTCTTAAGAAACTAGCATCCTGTAACTTGTCCACTACAGATCTGAAGAGGTCAGCATTTCTGTTTTCTTCCATCTAAACTACTCTGTGTACATTTAACTCTTACAATACTGAAGGACAAAATTCCGCTCATCACTGCAAAAGTGAGATGTTTTTGCTGTCACCATTGTTTATGTTAAGTCACTTGGATGCTGCCGCTGCATCTGTGCAGATACTGAAGCCTGGATAAGATGTATACATGCAACAGTATCCCAGTTTCATTCAGAGATCTCCACCTAGCATATTGGGGTTTCTCGAAACCAGGATGAGAATATATCTGGGTTTCTGAAATAAGGATGTGATGTTTACATGCGCAAACACAAAAACAGGATACTTCAACAACCCGATCATAAACGGTCATTGCAGATGTTTTTAGACAAATTATTTGTTAAATACTAGTTTAATATCTATTTTAAATGGCCTACCTAGCAATTGCCACATTTACACTAAACAGAAACCATTATTAAAATCGAAACACTTTCAGGTTGGGCTTGATTTAAGACTGTCCCTGATATCTACCCGTGTACAGTATTTTTATGCTTAAATTAAATCTTCAATTTAATTGTCAGTTTTCATTCTCTGTTCAGGACCTGGGTGCTGATGAGCTGTCAGAGTGTGTGCAGGACTTCTACCAGAGCCTCTCAGAACGCCTCCATACACAGTTCAAAGGTACTGTTTAACAATGTTGTCTGACCGCAGTTGTTGCTCAAGAAGAATCAGCTACAAACAGTGAATATCACTAACATTATACAGTGTGTATTGCCTTTGCCCTGTATAACTTCTGTTTTGTTTCTAGGTTCGACAGATCATGTAGAGAGCATTATGGATGAAGTAGAGAAGTACATGATGACTCGTCTCTACAAGGAAGTCTTCTGCCCTGAGACCACAGACGATGAGAAGAAAGACTTGGCCATTCAGAAGAGAGTCAGGTTAGCATGCAGTAGTTATAATAATACTTAGATTTGTCAGTGTAGTAGTCATTCCCTCTGAGTGCAATGAAAGCACATTTGCTGGTAAAATTACTACATCTGAGAGAAACTTAAATTAAAATCTTTGTTTTCTGTTACAGAGCCTTGCACTGGGTCACCATTGAGATGCTCTGTGTTCCTGTAGATGAAGAGATCCCTGAGGTTTCTGACAGTGTAGTCAAAGCCATCACAGGCAAGTCCCCTTAGGTCACATGTGTCAAACTCAAGGCCTGCGGGCCACATCTGGCCCGGCGTACAATTACACCCGGCCTGCGAGATCATTTTATATATCTTTTTTTAATGGCCCGGCAATATGAAGCGCCGATAACACACAAACTACAAATCCCATAATGCAGCACAACAGCTGCCTTACCGAACGATAGGCTACCTGCGATCATTCCCGCGTCAATTACGTCAGATCAGTCAAGCGTGTGTTGATGTATTCAACCCTAATTTAAAGTCAAAGCTAGCCCTTAACAATGGCCAAGAGAAAAGTTGATTCTGAAAACAGAGTCTTTCAAAACCGGTGGGAGGCTGAGTATATGTTTACTGACATTGTCGGTAAAGACGTTTTCACCAAAGTGAAATCACAGTGAAGCTGCTGTGAAAGCAAGTTTTATTGGGGCAGAGGAGAAAATCAGCCCGGACATTTACCGAGGGAGAGTTTCTGAAGAACTGCATGATGAATTGTTTGTGTCCAGACAAAAAGCAGGTGTTTGTAAATGTAAGTCTTAGCAGAAATACGGTTGGTGGTTTTATTTTGGAATAATATTGTATCCTGTCTTTTTCCATTCATCTTTATGTTCAAACAACATTTAGTTTTAGTCTGTTCAATAAATTTTTATCCTGTTTGGCCCGCGACCTAAAGTGTGCTTTGAGTTTTGGCCCCCTGTGAGATTGAGTTTGACACCCCTGCCTTAGGTTTATTTTTCAGAAGACCTTGGTACATCACCTCATTATCTTGGCAGTAGAGGTCCAGTAAGTTTACCAGATAAACAGCTTGTTATCTCTCCACGTCTCTGCACCATTCCAGATGTGATTGAGATGGATTCCAAGCATGTGCCCAAGGAGAAGCTGGCATGCATCACTCGTTGCAGCAAGCACATCTTCAACGCCATCAAAGTCAGCAAGAAAGAGGCCGCGTCCGCAGACGACTTCCTCCCCACACTCATCTATATTGTGCTGAAAGCAAACCCTCCGCGACTGCAGTCCAACATCCAGTACATCACCCGTTTCTGCAACCCCAGCAGACTCATGACTGGAGAGGATGGTTACTACTTCACTAATCTGGTGAGGAGATGCTTTTCGAAGACATTGTGGTAATGTTGGATTGCATCATGTTATATTGACAGGCCTTTCCAATAATTTATTCTTTCCGTTTATATAAACGAGGGCAGGCTAAACAGGAGAAACTCCTCTTTGTATAATGTGGTGTAGCTCAACAACAGCACAGACTGCAGCCTCCAAAGTGACAAAATGTTTTGAAAGAAAACCTGAGCAGGATTTTTTGCAGGACTGTGTTATTAGACTGTACTCGTTTTAGTGAGCTGTACATAATAAACTGGCAACTGAGTGTACAGTGTACAGTGGAGCATAGTAACTTAGTATCTAGAAACCATGTCAAAGAAATTCATGTTAGAAGCTGCTGACTTACAAGTCAGACCAGTGTTTCCCACATTGTGGTAGTAGCTCGGGTGGGGTCATGCTTTCAATGTTGTTGTTTTTTTTTTTTATTCAGTGTAGTAATGCTGTAGTGCTGTTGTGCTGTTCATGTGACCTGTCCCTTCTGCACTAGCTCTCCCACAGCAGCAGCATGTTGGCTGCTGCCCTCCTCCTACATCTCTCTCTTCCTGACCCTCTCTTGCTGCTTCAGCAGCACCAGTTGAAACCAGTAAATATTCAAAATGAATCAACTGGATCACTAATCACACTGATCAGCAGTCCTGCATTTGTTTTTCAGTATTCCCCTGGTCTGAGGGGCCAAATGTTCAGCATCAGAGTTTATGAACTGGTATTAACTGTATCCACTTGCAGAGCAGTCCATATACATCCATGCTATACACAGCGTGCTGACCTCTGCAACCACTGTATTCTAATATTAGCCTAACTAGTCTTAGTAGCTTGATAATAACATAGGAGAACAGTTGATTCTCCACAACTGACAGTGTTTTGTTTAAAAAATCAAACACGGAAAGGAGGAGCCGTTCACAGATGGTCCGTTGTCATGTGTTTGTGTGTGTGTGTGAGAGAGAGAGAGAAATAGAACAGGGCATGTATTTTAAATCAATATGTGGTGGTCAATGTTGCTATTGTGGAGGCCCGCCACAAATAAATGAATGTATGGAAAACACTGCAGATAGAAATCTCGATCACCACTGCAACTCAAGATAAAAGTCAAAACTTAAAAAGCTTCAAATGGAGTTAATGTTAGCCATCCTGCTCCTCTCCTTCTCCTTGTTTCCTGTCTCTCTCTATTTTCAAATGTCCATCAAAGCCAAAATGCCAAAAAATGTTTAAAAGAATCTTAAGTGAATCTGCTGTCCCACACTGAGAACATCTATAGGTGAGACTTAAGTTTAATGACCCTTCACATCCCCTCTCCCCAGTGCTGTGCAGTGGCCTTTATTGAGAAGCTGGATGGTCAGTCTCTCAACATGAGCTCAGAGGAGTTCGAGCTCTACATGTCAGGCCAGGCGCCTCCCCTCTGGCCACAGGTCACCGGCGCTTCCTCCTGCTCCCCAGGAAGCACAGCTCTCAGTCAAGTCCACCAACGACTGGACCTGCTAACCGGCCTTGGGGAAAGGCAGGAGCGTGTCATGGTGAAGGCTCGCCAGCTGGAGAGCGACCTCATCGACTGGACGGACGAAGTGGATCAGAAAGTGCAGAGCGTTCTGGAGAACTTTCCACCACAGACACAGAACCCTGCGGCAGGCACGGATGATGGGACAACATCTGCAGCGTCATCAGCAATCGACTCTGAGAACGTGGAGAACGAGCTTCTTCCCCCTCCACTGCAGCCGCAAGTGTTCGCAGGTTGATGTGAAGAGCTGTGCTCTAAACAAAATCTAGAGGGTTTTCTCCGCTCTCACCCTTTTCCCTACTGTTTAACTTTGCTGTCTGTGCACATAACAGCTGTGGATCCCATTTCCACTCCAGCAATTTTTATTACATCCATCTGTTGTCCTAGAGTCCTTGACAGTACACTGAACAGCAGTGGAACTGAAAACAGGGGGAAACAGGTAGCCTAGCTCTGTCAAGACGTAACAAAATTTGTGTAGCAGCACCTCCAAAACTCACTGACACCTGCTTTGGGTCATACAAAAACCAAAGAGTAAAAATTCACTTTTACACTATGGTTGGTTTACAGATGACTCTCACCTATGGTCATGAACTTTGGGTCATGACCAAAAGGGCAAGATCCCGGATACAGGCGGCCGAAATGAGCTTTCTCCGCAGGGCGGCCGGGCGCACCCTTAGAGATAGGGTGAGGAGCTCGGTCACCCGGGAGGAGCTCAGAGTAGAACCGCTGCTCCTCCACATCGAGAGGAGCCAGCTGAGGTGGCTCGGGCATCTCTTTCGGATGCCTCCTGGGCGCCTTCCTAGGGAGGTGTTC